ATCTTCATTAAGTCCCTGCTGTATACAAACTTACATACATACAAACATTACCTCTTTATAATATTAGTATAGATATATATAGTTTCTAGAAATGATTGCAAATTTCCTTGAAAATTTTATTCATAATAAAGTTATTTGATTTTTGTACTTAATTTTGTTTAGTATCTTACAAAGACAAAGGACCAGCTTTAATTATGAATAATTCTAATAAACTATAAAAAAGAAAATTTTATTAGTTAAACAGTAGAAAGTATGAAGCTTGCACTTATATTTTATGAATTTGAAGTGAAACTGGATATTGGCTGATCTAATATGAATCTGATGAATTACAAAAGTCTTTCATCAGTAAAACTATTCATATATATTATCTAAACATCTGCTTTTACAGTAAATAATTTTTCATGTTATATATTCAAAATTATTAATATGATGTAAATGAAATTGAAAGTTTTATGAATAACAATTTTCAGAAAAATAAAATAAAAATTTAAATGTAAATGTTTGAAAAATTTCAGTTAAAAATATATTTATCAGAAAACTATTTTGAAAATTCAATTAAAATATGACAAGTACAAGGAAAATGTTTTTACAATAAGATTAAAACAAAGTTTAAAGATGAAGATAAAATCCTGACGTATTTGTTTTAAATTATCATTAGGAAATATCAAAATAATTTATGTAAATATTTATTAACTTTATATAGCTGAAAGAAAGAGAATTACAAGATAACATGAAACTCATTGAATGTCAAGAGAAAATTTTAAAAATTGAAGAAAAATTATCAGATTTGCAGGAACAATTAGGAAGTGAAGAGATACTTTCTTTAATGCAGTAAGAAATACTTTAAAAATTTACATTAATATACAGTGGGTGATCAGTTAATGAACATAATCCGTTCCAAGACTTTGTTCATTATCTGAATTGTTCGTTAACTGATTATCAATTTACCATAGGTTTTAATGGGAAGTTGATTAATTCATTCCGGAGACTTCAAAAAGTAAAAAAATATATCCATTTTTACTATGTTTATTTATATGTAATAGTAAAAATACATATATATATGCAGTCTTGAATTTTTATTAGTCATGTTTTTTCTATTTGAAAGGGTTAAAGAATCTGTCCAATGTTGATTGCTTTTCTCTTTTCTTCAGGATTTTTCGGAAGTAATTAATAGTATTGTAACTGTAGAGATCCCCAACCCCATTAACCTTATTCTGGTTTGGATGCCACTTGGATGATCATTGTTCTGATATCCTCCCACTTCTTCAAAAGATCTTTAGTAGTAGATGTCAACATTGGTCCTCTTTTTCAAAAGAAAAGACATCTTGCTGAGTTTCTTGGTATTCTTCATTTGAGAGTTCTTGGAGTTCTGTCATTAGATCAGTTTCAGGTTCCATTATGAGCTCTAAAATGCTCTTTATTTCTCAGATGTGATTTTCATTACTCCATTAGCAGTTTGAGACTTCTTGATATATCTTTCATAGCTAAGATTGTGCCTACTGTAGACCTGTTCAAGCCATACTGTCTAGCAACATCAGACATCTTATGCCCACTTTCTACCTTGGCTATTATCTCTTACTTGGTTTCTATGGTGAGCACAGTTCTTGACACTCCTCTTTTTAAGTTCCATAATATTATCAGTTTCTTTTTTAAATAAAAAGTTCAGAAAAGTACTTACAAAAATTCAGAGAACAGAAATCAACTAGCCCACAAAAAATTACTTAAATGCAAGGCCCAGATGAAATTTGAAATTTGGTATTAAAACGTTAATGAATATCCGATGGGACAGTTAAACTTTCGCCTTTCATAAATAAACCCTGACGCAAAATTTAACAAGTACCTGTCCGACAGTCTCGCAAAGATTATAAAAATTATTTGTCAGAAAGGTAAGCAAAAAGCTAGAATTACAAGGGAGAGAAGGGAGAGTTCAAAATTTGGAGGAATACTATCTGATCAGTATCGGGTTGAGCGATGATGTTGACATCTCCTGCACTCTGAAAGGTTTCGAATTGTTATCTGAAGACAAGGGAAAATCAATCGGTATTCGTTATTTTCCATCACTTCTTTTTATATTTGTTCGGTAAAGTGTTCATTATCCGAACATGTGTTCGTTGTCCGTTGTCTGATCATAAAAATCTTTTGCGAAAGTGCTCATTATGCAATTTATTCGGTATCTGAACTGTTCATTAACCGATCACCTACTGTATTTAAAAGAGCTTAATGAAATTTAATTTTATTGTTTGAACTAATAAAATTGAAAAATTAATTAAGTTTATAAATTTTTTTGAAGTAAATATTCAAAAAGAAAAATAATTCAGCATGAAATTTATTTAATTAACACTTTCAAATGTTAATTAAATATTCAATATGTAATAATTTGAATTATTTTATTTTGAATAAAGACTAAATATGCATTCAAATTATCCTATGTTGAAGCAACCTGAAGTCATCTTACAAAAGATGAAAAAATTAGTTAAACAAATTTCCTTCTGTATTTTTTAAACTGTCTATTTTTTAATCTTGTTTCTACTTAATTACATATATGTGTAATTTTTGAATGACAAGAAAACTAAGAATTTTAAATATTTAAAGGAGTGATATGAGAAGCTGTAAAATAGAATAAAAAATAAATAAATAAGACTATAGATTTTCAGTGAATTTAAATTATACATTCTGAACATTAAATATATAAAACAAAATAAATTTATAGATTATTTTGCATTTCTTAGCAGTTAAGAATATTTTATGCAAGAAGAATGCTTTAAATATAGATTATAATAGAAATTTAAAAATTAATGATTAATAATTTGAAATGAAATATATCTTTATTTCTGTTTCTATTATACTATTTTGCTTTCTTCTCCCATTTAAAATGTGTTTTTTAATAAATCTTATCAGTCAGTTTTTGAAATAAAGTTTTTGAAAGATTTTAAATTAAAGCAACTCTTTAAATAATTGGGAATAAATATGTAATTTTTATGTAAATCATTAAAATGTTAATGTAATATTGTAAATATTTTGTTAAAATTTCAGGAAAAAAGATACTCTGTTAAAGCTAAAAGAAGATTTATTGTCTGAACAGCACATTGCTCGTGGACGAGAAAATGAATTACAACAAAATGTTCTTCAATTGACTAAAAAAACAGAAAGTGACATGTATAAAAATGCAGATAAGAAGCATAGAGATAAAGTAATTGATCTTAAAGTACGTATTAGCATTTTTTATTTGCTTTCGTGTTATTTTAAGTTTTATTTTTTCGACTTATACATAATAGAGAGAAAGTATGGCTAGCAATCAGTAAAAAAAAAATTACTGCAGAATTTAGATTTTTGGACACAGGACCTTGAAACATCAAGAAAAGAAAAAACTTTGTGGTTTTTTCCCTGTATGTATAGGATGTTGTGTATGGCAGGGGGCAAGATTTTGTTCACCAGCTTTCATCAACTTTAAAGTTTAATACTCCTAGGCCTTTTATCAAAAATTTCTGAAATTTTGCAGGAGATTTGTGTATTAGGAGCATTGATGCTATTAAATTTTGGTGGTTAAAGGTCAAGGGGGTGTGAATATACAGGGGATTATATGTCATATTTTGAGTCAACTTAATGAAGATTTTATTTGTTAGTAGCATTTACAGTTTTTTATAAAATTCATCTCTACCCTCAAACTTAAGCTTTTTGTCATTTTATAATAATTAATAGGTTTGAGGGTAGAGATGAATTTTATAGAAAACTGTAAATGCTACTAACAAATAAAATCTTCATTAAGTCAACTCAAAATATGACATACAACCCCATTGACCTTTAATTCACCAAAATTTAATAGTATCAATGCCCCTAATATACAAATCTCCCTGCAAAATTTCAGAAATTTTTCTAAACTCAGTTTTTGAAATTATTGTTAATTTTATGAAATTTTAATTACAAATGAAGAATCATTTTTTAAAATCTAAAACTGATACATACAAAATCTTCAATTGAAATAAAGGGTTATAAATAACAATTTTTGTACTGTAACAGAAATATTTTGGTGTTTCTAGATTCTTATTTATTTTGTTTCAGTTTTTTAAATTACTGTATTTACTCCCATATAAGATGATCTTGCATATAGGATGATGTTTGACTTTAAAGATCAAAATAAAGAAAATTAGATTTATTAATACATTTCTAATTTTATTTCGTTTAATCACAAATAAAATATTGAATGCATGTAAATGCACACATTGTCCTGCAAAAATTACTGGCATTTTAAACTTCAAGGAAAAATCTTGTAAAATCAACAACATAATTTGTTCATGTAAAGCTGGATAATTGGGAACCTTTTTTGCCAATTCTTAACAGTCAAATTCACTCTTCATCAATTACACTTGAGTTTCTCCTAATTCTGATTTCCAAATAATCATCTGTTTTCACATGGGAATGAATTAAAGGTTATATCGGGCTCCTGTGTAATTTTGGAATTCAATTCAAAAGCTTTGCTTTTCCTATTGCTATTCATCTTTATTCTTGACAATACACAAGAACTATTGAAACGATCCAGATAAAATACTTTTCTTTTTTTAAACACCAGAACGTGAGGATCTGGTAAAAAATACGAATACACAAATTCACAAAAATTATTGCAAAAACGAAAAGAATCCTTTGCTCACGCATATGGGATGACCTACATTTTTGAAGCAGTGAAAAATGAATAAAAACCTTGTCTTTTATGTGAGTAAATACAATATATGGAAATTTATCAATTAAATATTTTAAAATAAGATTAAATTTTCTTAAATATGTATTAATGAGAACAATTCTGAGAGGTATTCAGTAGTTTAAATATACTTTTCAGTTATTCTAGTAAAACTTAACTTTGGAGTTATTCCCATGTAAAACTTTTCAAATTACAGTAATTAACTATTTCATAGTATTTTTATTTCTATTAATTTCTTATATAATTCAGGTTCAAATTATCTGAGATTTGAATCCTTAGTACTGTATATACACTTGGCCATATGCCATAATAGATGCAATAAAAGAAGACAAAGTTGAAATGGTTCTATGTATAATGTATACCATTAAATTTTTTTTATTAATTTATTTTAGAATACTTATATTTTTGTATTTAATATGGTTAAAATTAAAAATTAAATTTTTTTAGTTATTTCCTTTTTAGTGTATTTAAACCTAGTTTCATTTAAGCAGAATATTAATTTCATTAATAAATAATCATAAAAAAATTAGTTTCATCTAACTTACATAATAAAAATTTCTCTTAATTTATTTTAAAAAGAAATTTGACATTTTAGAGTTGTTTTTGACAAATATTAACACACAATAACCTGACAGAAAACCAAAAACTTTCTGCTTGTTAGTAAAGGTTTTTGTTTATTTGAAAAATTATAGTATAAAAACACTGTAAAAGTGATAAGTCCTTGAATTTATTTGTACACAAGAAATTGCACATTAATAATTTTACTTTACAACTAGTGTTTTTGAATGTGTAAATTTATGATTTTAACTTTTTGAATATATAGAAAATAAGACAGTTTCTTTACAACGATTTTCTCAACCTAAAGCAGCAATCTGATTTATAGAAAATCCTCATTAGTTTGAAATTCAAGGGATGAAATAATCACAACTTCAAATTATCAAGTTTTGAATTATCCAAGATTTACATATTTCTATACAATAAGCCAAATGCCATGTAAGTGATGTAAGTTATTAAGGAAATGGAATATGGCTACATATACAGAGTTCTATTTTCTGTAATTAATAATTAATAATAATATAAATAAACTGCAGGTAACATGCAGTTTATTTATGCACATGTCTGGTGAGAACCCCACAGGTTGCAATATAGGTTTTATAAAAAGTAAAGCAGAATTCCTTGAAATGTAGTCCAAATTATTTTTAAAGTGACCCAAAAAGTAGTAAGTTGCCCAAATGTAGTAGTCTAGAGCAGTGATGGCAAACCTTTTAAGCTCGGCATGTCAAAATTTTGAAAAATCCTAATTTAACTCTGGTGCTGTGTCACCTAAAAATATTTATAATTTTTTGATATTTGCAATTATAGTAAAAAAAAGATTTATATTTTTGATATTTATTTTATATATTTAAATGCAATTTAACAAAGAAAAATCAACTAAATATTATGTATAAAATAAACAAAAACAAAAAACACAACAC